ACACGCTGTCCAGTTAAATGCCACATGGACTGGCCTCGGAAAATACCTGGTGTTTGTGTCCCCCAAAAGTTGAACAAATGGCAGGATCTTTGAAAACACTTCACAGGGTTTGTGGGAATGATGGGGGGGGGATCTGGCATCTTAGCTAAAGTACGCATATCAGTGGGCCCTTGTCAATCACAGCGAACATGCAGTCATGCTTAAGAAATGTCTTTCCTCTCAGATTCTCTGTCACTGGGTTCATCTGGGTTCCCACAAAGGAGCAGCAAAAAATCTAGTAAGTTAAAATTAGGTGTGGGAAGGTCACCAGAAAAATAGCAAAGAACAATACTCCGCATCTGAATGAATGATTTCTTTCAGGACGTTAGTTGTAGCTTTGTGATTTTTTTATTTGCAATGTTTTTGAAATTGCAATTTTTTTTTTTTGGTGATTTAAAATAAACAAAAGTAATCAAATCGTCCTGACTCTCTAGGTAATTATGAAATTAAATTACCTGCAGTTATCACTAAAACAAAGGTAAAGACATTTCTTTTACACAAAATCGAATATTTCTGAATAATTCAGGGGTCCAAAAGAAGACTTCTCAGTGTGAATGTCTGTTTCAACAAAGATACCCTGTTTTGTAGTATTAGATCCATGGAGTTTCAAATTACATATATATGTCTTGGCAGCATTATTATAGTTCAGGTTTACCTTCTGCATCTAGGGATATGAAAGATTTGTATATGTCACTGGTTCTGACCCTCCAATAATAAGTAATGAAAATTCCTATTTATCATTTGTAGGATCAAGCCAGTGTGACAGCAGAAAATAGCATTATTTATTTGGCTCACATTACTATTGTATACAATCTGGAGAAATAAATCCCTCAATCCGTTTAGGAATGTTCTTTTCCCAATTAAGGTTTCAGTGACTCTACACACAAATACTGATTTTTACCTTTTTCCATTTGCATTTTAATTTAAAAAGTCTATGTTGATTTCATTTCTATAATACAGCATGTTTATGTTCTCAAAATCTTAACTTCTTATCCTGGGGGTGCCTTTAATATTTAATTTTTACCTTGTTCAGTTACCTTGTTCAGTTCATAGCTTTTTTATTTATTACTTTACTTGAGTTGATTTCTTTTCTTTCTTTCTTTTTTTAACACTGTGAAATTACCCATTTGGCAATCACATCACTAAAATGCAAAAAGTTCTTCTCTCAATTATAAAAGCCAACATAACCCATGATTATTAAGAAAACTATTCTGTACATCAACCATTGTTTATTTCAGAATACAATCAAGTACCATAGGCTAGAGTAAAAGCTTAAGGATAGTGATCTTTTTTTTCCGCTTAAAATAATAAAGGTAATCAAACCTTCCTGCCAATCTAGGTGATTGTGAAATTTAATTACTAGCAGTTATCATTAAAACAAAGGCAAAGCAATTTTTTCTACACATAATTGAATATTCCAGAAGAAAATTTCTGAACAGTTCTTGGAAAATGTATTTAAAAATTAATTTTAACCTGATTATTTCATTTGTTATGTCTCAGTTGGTAATGCAGAATAAATGACACATCTGGGTGTTGCGGTTCAACAACAGCAAGTGAGAACATATTCTCAGGAAAATCAGATAACTTTGAGCTTAATACTGAGTGAATTATTAGATCTTTACTCTCTGTGCAAACACAACCAAACCTAAACCTTCCACATCTATTCCTCCAAGAGAGGTTTAACCCATATTATTCGAGTTCACACCTCCATATGTGTGGAGGTGTGAATCAACAGTTCAGATTCAACAGTTCCTTTTTTACTGCTCAATTGCCCAAGTATGTCCTAAGGCTTCCAGAGAGTTGTTCCATCAAACCCACTGCTACCTGAACAGAAAGAAAAACTCCCACCCACGTCAGCAGCAACAGTGAGTGATCTAGCATCTCTCTGCACGCTGCTGCTAATAGATCTATAAGCATAACCGTCCAGAGAAGAGACACCACCTACAAAATGGATCAAGAGCCCTAAGAAAGGAAGTTGAACATTAGGCCATGGACTTCCCCATCTCCAGGCCTTTGCCTAAGCTCTTCCCTCTTCCCAAAATGCCTTTCCCCCTCTCTGCTCTCTGGGAAAAAAATCCCACTCATCCTTTAAGCCCCAACTCACAGGTCACTAGTTCTGACCCTCCCTGCCTACTGAGGGAATCACTCCCTTCCTTGTACTCTCTTCCACATAATTCATTTTATCCAACTGGAATATAGATTACTATCTGTCGTCCATCTCTGCTACTGGATGGTGAGGGAAAGGATCCTAATACATCTTTCTATTCCAAACTCTTGGGACAATGCCCGAAACCTAAAATACACTTAATGACTGCTTCTTTAATGGACCTCAAACCTCAAGGTCAAATTTAACGTGCAATGTAACAGTCAAATTTTATGTGTGTTGGACTTATTTCTGCACCTAAAGGCTGAGCCATGAAGTGCCTTCTATTTCATTCCTCAAAGGAGCAAAATTTGTTCACAACAAACACCGACTAAGTGCCACACCCTGGGCAAACTGCTCTACACACATTATCTCATTTAATCCACATAGCATTCCTATGGGTAAGTCTCGTTATTAACATTAACCTGATCTACAGATGAGGAAATTGAGGCTTGGAGAAGTTGAGTAACTCACTCCAAATTATCCAACTGGTCAATGCGGCAGCCAGAACTCAAGAACAATAATCCCAGAACTTCAGAACTAGAAGGAATCCTAAAATCATCTTCCTCACTCAGCCTCCTTGAAACTGAGGCTTATAATATTTACTTCCTGGCACATAGTAGGCCCTATGTGAAAACAATGATGAATAGATTGATGGAGTGCCCTATTTTCTCAGACTCTGGTCCTTGCCTGGGAGAACGCAGCTGCCGCCACAAACAGGCTCTATTCTTTAGTGCCCAACACCTCTCACAGGTGTGAATTACTTGTGTCATCTGAATTATTCATGATCCACGCGATGGGTAAGTGTGCTTAAAAAGAGAACTACAGCTTCTTGTGTTTTTCAAGACAAAGTGTCTGATTAATTGGTGTATTGAGCAATATAAGTTCATGGGCCAGTCTGATCTACATCAAATAGTGTATCGATGCCCGCTTTCTGAATTTCGGTGTTCACGTAATTTCCCAGTTCCCACTGAGATTTAAAATAGTGGTAACTAAAGCAGGAAGGAGACCCATCATAAGCATCTCCATCCTATCTGCAAAGCAATTACCATCATCTAAAGCTCATACTGTGTGACTTCAAACCCACGTATTTTTCTGAAGCCTGAATTCAATTTTTCGATCAGGTTTCTTAAGCTACACCAAGATCTGAACGTTCAGATGCCACAGCATCTGTAATTTATGCCATCAGTAAATCATGTGAGAATACTGCCTTCTTGTCTTTTCTCCATTCTTCTTTCCCGTTGCCACCTCTCCCCCGCCAGTCCCTTTTCTAGTGGGCAGTTTTCTGAGAGGGCTAACCATATGCTAATCGTAAGCCAACATCACTGTATTTTAAATTCAATGTTAGTCGACCAAAATGAATTGAAAAGCAGCAGCAGTGGTTTGGGGGTACTAAAAATACGCTGTAGCATTTGCTGAGTTCTCAGAATTAAAACCACAGGCAGTCAACTTGTTGCTGCTCCTAATAAGATATGACTGGTCTGCCCCATCGGCTGCTACTACCAGCAACTTGAACTATATCATATGCCTAACAACATTGTGCTTTTGATTAGTTGGCAGTGATCAAGAAAGGAGGTGCCATTTCCCAGGAACTGAACCTGCCAAAAAAGATAACAGATGGCTTTCAAGGGATCACCTTGTGCCACATCACAATCGCACCTTAGTCAAACTCGCCTTGTATTTATGATTAAATTAGTTACACATCTATAGGTATGGCAAATTTATGACAGGCTTGCTGTCCAATGGTCCCAACCAGGTGATTGTTCTCTGAGTTTAATGTCCAGGTAATTGTAATAATAATAAAAAAACACACAATAGGAATTAATACAATATTAACATATCGAGTATTTTCCTTAGGATTTCAAGACCCTCTTGACCCCTGCAGACTGTATACTACACTAAATGTCTTATCAGCTATGCCTTTAGGGTTTGTCATGAAAGTTTTCAGTGACCAGAGAGGTACAAGAATTCTACCTAATGCATCATTCTGATTAGAAACCTGCCATACTCAGAAACCAGAGGGTCTGTTTCTATTGATTCCTATTCCTTCAGATTCATTAGCAGTTTTTTCTCTTCAATGAGACCTGCTGATCAACCTTAAAAAAAGCTGAAAGAAGTCCTCCCTTTGCTCACTTGAAAACAAAATGTATGCCTGGAAAGTGAAATTAGAGAGTATCATAAGAAAATGTCCAAGAGGCCACATAGGAAAATCACACACACACACACACACACACACACACACACTTGTAAACCGGCAAATTGTCAGAGGTTGGGCTCGACCTTCCTTCCTCTAACTCGCTTCAATCAGGACCAGAAACACAGAATCCCTTCCTTACTTCTATCTCAAACCATGCCCCAAGCTTGTGTCTCCACGGAGCTAATTTCTGAAACAAACAAAGAAACTCAGGTCTGTGAGGAGCGAGGGTTGTCGCCCCTCTTCCTTGGATGTGGGCATCCAGCCCGGCGGGCGCCCAGCGTCTCCCCAACCTTCCGCGCCCCGCTAGCCCAGCGGCGCCAGAAAGTGCGAGCCTGCCCTGCTCCTTTCGCTTCTCGCCTGCTGCTCCCCAAGTCTCCAGAACACTCGCGTTCGCACACTAAGGGCGCCGCCGCTCGCCCACCTCTGTGCTGTCAGATGTCAGGCGCGGAGGTGCCGTGGGCGCCCCGGGTGCTGGCAAACCAAACAAGTGTCACACCGGGCGCCTGCCCTCACTCCGAGACCGGGGGCAGGACGGCCACAGGTAGGCTCTACCCATCCCGGGGTGCGGGGCGAGGGCAGGGGGCAAGAGACCCAGGCTGCGTCCGACGGGCTGAAACTCACCGGAGGACACCGAGGAGCCGGACAGGCTGGAGTTGCTGGACGCTGCCATCCCCGCGGCGCGCGCGTCTCTGCTGGCTCAGCCCCGGTGCGGACGCCGCCGCCGCTGCCCTCGCGCGACCGCTCGCAGCCTTCGCGGCCCCCAGCCCATGGCAAAGTCCTGGGGACGCGCAGAAAGCACCAGCCTCCGGACTCTGCCGGCACTTCCTGCTCCACCAGATGACGCGCTGCTGCCGCCGCTATTTATTTGTGATTTCCGTCCCTCTCGGCGCCTTTGCACGCTCTTCTCCGGGTGTCGGGGGTTAGGTGCGAGCAGAGGGAGGCCGAGGGGCGGCCGGAGCGGACTAATCGTGCCTCCAGTCGAGCCCCAGCTGTGGGCCGAGCTCCCCCGCGCGCGGCTGGGACCACCGCGCCCGGGCCGCCCGGAGGCGCCCCGCCAGCTCCTGCACCCTCCCCTGGGCTCCCGCCTCCCCGGCGGCACTTCGGGCAGCCCGGGCAAAGGCGGCAGGAGCCAGCCAGACAGAGCGACCTCCCCCTTCTCCCTCCGCCCCAACTCCGCTCGCGCGCACACAAAGGAAGGAGAGGAGACGCGCGAGCTCGGGGGCTGGTTCAGCTGCCGTGGGCTTGACAGCTCCTGCGACTGGGGCTGGAGGAGGAGGCTGGGGACTGCCGGGCGGGGGGACGCTGGACCGGGGCGCGAGACCCCGAGGTGCTGGGGAGGCCGCCGGGGGGCGCGGGGCGAGCGCGGCTGCGATGCGCAACCGGGAGTGGGGAGTGGGGAGAAGGTGGTGGGGCTCGCTGTCCGTGGCCAGGCTAAGGGGCGGCGAAGACAGCCGGGGTGGGGGATCCAGGGGGCGAAGGCGAGGTCACTATGGACAGGGTGCGAGCTAAAAGGGGGTCTGGGATGCCAGAGAGGCTCTGGAGAGCTTCTTCCACTCCCCTCCAAATTGTCCTTTGTTACTCTGGAGCTGATGGTCCCTACCCTGCAAGAAGGTGTGTTTCCCAAAACACCCTCAAAACACCTAGCAAGACCCGTCCAGAGGCACTTAAGTACCCCCAGCCAAGGACAGTGACTAACGGGTCCACTGGGCTTTTGAGGTTGCCCTTCAAAGAAATAGAGATGTTCCTAACATGTCATCAGGCCCACACAAAGCCAGGTGTCAAGAGAAAGAGGTTCTCTGACTTCGTCTGGTAAAGGAACCTCACAAAAGACTTGGCAGCAGGTCCAACTGTGCCCTTTCAGGATAAGGAATTGCTTAGGTGTGTGAGAGAAAGAGACTTGAGCACAAGGTGTGTAGCTTCCCCTGTATTTAAGCCTAAATTAATTTCACTGGGAGGAGATATCATACAGATTTTTTTTTTTAAATCTATTTCACACTCCCAGCAGGGTAATCAGTTCTTTCAATCCTGAAGCAACAGAAAACTGTGAAATTTGAACAGAAATTGTTAGATCAAAGGAAAACGCAAACATAAAGGAATGAAAGTACTCTCATTATGTAGCAAAGTGGAAAGTGTTCACATTGGGGTAGTTCAATTTTTAAAAACATGGTTAAAAGGACAGAGTCAATTTAAAAATTGTCAGGAGCGACACAGGCACAGCAGACAGTCCTAGGGGGTTTACATCAACCACGCAGCCAATGAACAGTGAAGGATAAGTGTTGAATAATTATAATATGCACTCATGTCACATTTTCTAGTTGATTTAAACTTTTTTAAATTCCCTTCAGGATGCCATCCCAACACATCTTCCCAATAAGGCTCTTTTTTTTTTTTTTTTTTTTTTTTTTTAAAAAGCAGTTTTCTGAATAGCTGAGGGCTCATGAGCCCACCTCAACCACATTGAGTCTTCCTGACTCTCATCTACATGGAACTTGGAACACCCCTGCCTGGTATAAAGAGACCTGAGGACACTCCCCCCCGCCCAACGCCGCAACACACACACTCCTTTTTCTCTCCTTTTGTGCCATGCAGGCTTGATGCAGCCTAACCTGGAGTCCATCAGGGATATATGGCCCATCACAACACTAATCTCTCCATCAGAACTAACTTCCTGTTTTCCCAAAGTTCTTCTGATCAAAGGCACATCTACTTGATTAACTAGTAACCTATGTATCCCTCCAGACCTTTAGATGGTGGACTGACCTGGCTATGTCACCTAGTAGGGTTGACACCCTCTGGGCTTCGAAGAAGAAAGACAACACAGGAATTCATACTCTGGTTCCACCACTTATTAGTTACATGACCTTGAGCAAATTACCTACACTCAGTGAGTCTCAGTTTCTCCACCTGCCACCCAAATCTTGATACTATAGGGTGTTATGAAGACTAAATGAAATCGTGTGTATAAAGCCACAGTGTACCTGGCATACAGTTTGTGCTCCGTGATTATAAATTGTGCACCTGCAAGGCCAAATCTATGATTTGAACAACTTCTGCTTTCTCCATTGCATCTGGAGATAACTAATCAGCAGTGACTTGTTGCATCAGGGGAAATATCTAATCTTTGGCCCAAGGTTTATATCTTTCTTGCCCCAAATTGGGCAATACACAACAGGTTCCATTTTTCATCTCTGAAGTCTCGCAAAAGGATATCAAATTCTACTTCTGTAGTCAGATGATAATATTTACCTTCACAGAACTTTGCAGTCCTTAGTTAGGGAAAGTAAAGCATGGCGAGGTGGAGTTGATTACTTTTATTATCTCAGATTGAATGGACATAATATAAAGGGAGGGGACAAAGGGGAATTTGCTGTGAGGGTACTACCCCACAGCCATTCTGTGCTGTACAAAAGTGGAATGAAACAGAGACTAACTTTTTCCCACAGGGTTCAGAGACCAGAAGAAAGATACAAGGCCACCAAACATGCTTACTGAATAAAAACAGGATGACTGGGAAAGCTTAGCCTGTTGGTACGAGATGAACCATAATTCCAGGGCCTATTATTTTGAAGAACAAATGGAAAGCTCCAGGTTCAGAACTAAAATCTGAAAGTTGATCAATAATTTAGATTGTTAAAGCCACAACAAATGGAGAAAACTCAGCAGGCATGATTGCTCTCTATCATTTTTCTTAGCTTCAGAGCCCTAAAGGCTGGCTGTTCCTTGCAAAAATGTTTATAATATCAGTAAATTAGCAGGAGGTGGCTGAAATAAGATGCTAACCCCTCCTCAGTAGGCTCATGCACCTGTTTGTGGACCTTCCAAAGCATTTCTCCAAATGAAACAATAAGGATATTAATTGATATATGTCATTCACTCACTCACTCACTCACTCACTCACTCACTCACTCATTCATTCATTCATAGGCATTAATTCCAGCTAATGCCTATTTGTCAGTGGAAAAGGGAATATTGGTGCTGCAAAAATCTTAGGCCTGTTTGAAAAGTGAGATTTTTTTTAAAGATATGTCTACCTTCTTTCTTCAAATATTAAAAGACTTATGGGACGAAAGGAGTTTTGTTAATAATTTGGTCTATTAAGCATTATTAACAATTACCATTTTGTTAGCATGAAAGCTATTTTAGCATCTAAAGCCTTCCCACCTTCCTTCTCCAAATATATTTCCTGTTCTCCCCTTCACACATGCGACCCCTTCTCACTGTGCCCAGTACCACTGAGGGCTGGCAGCACAGGCCTTTTCCCGTGCCCTCCCTGCTGAGCATCTTGTACTGTGAAGGGGTAAGTAGAATGCACCTTCTTGGAAAATCTTCCCTGATCCCCAAGCCAGAAACCAGCTTTCCTTCTACTGAATTCCTCTAGTCTTTCCCTTGTACCTCTCTATTGGCAGATGCTCTGGTTTTGTTTTGATGGTAATTTTGGAACCTGTATTTCATTTCCCTACTCTATTAAAAGCTTCCTGGGGGCAGGATTTCTGTCTGGCCAGCTTTTGTATTCTCTACCAGGCTTTACACACAAAAGGTGCTCAGGAGATATTTGTAGAATAAGTGAGTAAACTAAGGAACTAATAAATCCATAAATGGTTCTCAGGTTCGCCAGTGACTTTTCCCATCTGACCACCAGGCAACAAGATGATGGATAACATATCTGGAGCACAAAAAGAAGTTGATGGGCATGTAATGACACTATCTTGCTATGAATAAGAAAAACTGAAATGGTGAAAATATAAGAATACAATTTTGATGGAGCAAGTGTTTGTAATCCCCACCCGCAATCACCGGCTGTTACAACTGATACAATTTATTGTTTACAGAGTAGCTCTTATGTTGCTGTAATTTGTTTATTTTTGCTCTACTGTTCCTTTGAAGTCTAAAAGCAGCCAAGAAAACACCACAGGGTGAAGTGGCTGTTGTGGTTGGAGCTGGGCTCCCATGTTTCAGGCCCTCTGGGGTGTTTCTTTGTGAAGGTCATTCCTTTCCTCTGTGCTAAGCACAGAATGAAATATTCCTTACTTTCAAGATTAATCCAGTGGCCAGCATTCAAGGAAGAATAGTGGGGCTATTTGTCAACTAGCTTTAAATATTTTATGGCAAATACTCTACTGTACCCTGGAAATTGGTCTTTTTGCCATCAATTTCTCAACATCGATATACTCTTTGTTGTAGGGAGAAGCATTTCCCTTTGTAGTTTAAGCTGTGCTTCTAATACAAAGACTCCTGGTCCTGTTAAAGAGAAAACATTGGCTCTTCGGGGGTAACATCAGGCGTAACTAGAGGCAGAAGCTGAGAAACCCTCCACTTCTGCGGAAGAGGTGTGTAGACAGCCCAGGGTGGGCTTAGCCAGCAGACAGCTCCGACGCTGCAGGTAGCAGCCCAGCCTCTGAACAAAAGGAGTCCACACCTGGGGTGCAGACAAAGGGAGACAGCCTCTGCTACCCAATTCCCAATTCACATCGCTTGCTGCTTGGGGACCCCTAGTGGCGACACACGTGCCACAAACACAGGTGTTCCTGAATCTCCTCACTGAAGTGCAGAGGGGTCCTGAGGTATCGCCCTGAGCTTCCTATTTAACCACTTAACGTGGGGGGGGGGGGATCAGACACGCACGCATGTGCGCACGCGCGCGCGCACACACACACACACACACACACACACTTGTATCACGCCATCAGCTACAACCTCTTGGACTTGAAAGATGCAGAGAGAGGGGGAGAGAGAAAGAGACAGAGAAAGAAGTGAGAGGTTTTTTTCTTTCTGAAGGGAAAAAAAAATCAGTGTAGAAACTCATGATAGAGTGCAGAAACTCATGAGGTATGTTTTTTCTGCATACTGCATCTTCTGGCTTTGTTCTCCGACATTTTAGATTACAAAAATCTTTTCTGCCTTCAATATCATAAGAGAAATCTAAGATAAAATAAGTGAAGAATGCTCTAAGTCTTCTTCGGGCAAAAGTGTGCAGTGAGTTTGTTTCTCCTGTCATCTGGGGGGTACCCATGGCTTTCTGCTCCTGTACTATCAACATGTGCTTTCATAAAGGTATTCGATGCATTTATTCTCTGCTGTTCATGCATTTATGCATTCACTAATGCATTCAGTCATGTTTATTG